AGCATGAGATGACTTTGAAGTTCAAGTTCCTCATACATGAGCCTTGCACCTTCTGCAGGGGGACTGACAGGGATGGAATGAAGTAATTCAGAGGCCAGAGCTTTATAGTGAGTGTTTTCAGTCATCCAGTCCAGAACCCATGAATTAACATCAGTGACATTGCCAGTGAGGTGCAGAGTTGCATAAAACTAAAGAATAAGCTCTTCATTCCAATCAAAAATGTCAGCATAGAAATTGAGGAGTCCAGCTTCGTGAAGAACATTCAGAACTGGTTGAAAGCATTAAATGGACTGCATATCCACATGAGGAATTTGGCGGTGTTGGAAGACTTTTTCCTTGTCAAACAGAACAGATGCATAGAAATTCATCTGGCTTGCATCCTGAACCTGTTGCGCCTTAGTCTTACTGAGTCATAAGGATTTTCATTACTAAAGAAATGATGCTCAACGAAGAAATCAACATTCTTGAAATTTGTCCTGTTTGTGCGAGAATGAGGATTTTGAGGCTTGGGCTAAAGATTTGAAGTAGAAGGCCTCACAACCTGTTGAGTCACAACTTCAAGTACTGCACACTGAGGAATTGAAGCAACAGTTTCATCAGTAATTTGGTTCTCCATTTCTTCAGCTATTGCAGCTGTAATTTCTTTCGGGATGGACTAGAGAGAAGTTTGACGTCCTTCAGACCCTGTCAATATTTCTTCAGTTTGCACAGGGGACTGAGGAATTTTATGGAGAGGTGTGGCGATTGGAGAATTGGGGTGATGATTTCCCCAATAATCAGCATTCAGCACTAGGGTTGTAGAGCCAATGTCCAAATCTTTGTAGAGCCAATGTCCAAATCTTCGTCAATTTCATCAACGCCCGCCTCTTCAGTAGTGAACTGAGGCACATGCGATGATACTAGTGGAGTTGAAACAGTAGCTCCCACTTCAATTTCTTCATCCAACTTCTCAGAGGAAGCAGCAGAAAGATTATCTTCATCAATGTCATCATCAGGAATGACATATTCTTCACCAAACGGAATAAGTTCTATTAATGGCACTATTGAAAATTGGAACAACACATCAATTGGTTTACTGAAGGAGCTCATCAAAGTCCTCATTTTCTTGGGAGCTGAGGACTCTGTAGGGGTTGATGCTTTCCTTTTCTTTGCGGCTTCCTTCTCCGCAGTCTTTGTTTTCTTCACTTCTGATGCAGAAGGAAGTGTGGTTTTCTTCATCTTTGAAGATGTTGCAGGAGGAGCAAATGAAGTTGGAGCATTTTCTTCAGGCATGACTGATGCAACCACCCTGGCATTCTTAGTTTCTTCAGGCGCAGCAAATTCTTCAGCTGGCCTGGGTTGTTCTTCAGGCGCAACATTTGTGGTTGCCCTGTCAGTTTCTACAGGAGCTGGAATTTCTTCAGCAGCCCTGGTGCTTCTTTAGTAGCCTAGATTTCTTCAGTTGCACTTGCATGTTCTTTAGAAGGTTGAATAGATGCTTCAGCCTGAGGAATTTGTTGTTGCGATGGAGCTGCAACATTTATCTTGAGGTTCTTTGAGAGGTTGAAAAATTTGACCTTGACACCGAGCCAATCAGCATGATATCGATCAAATTCATCACCGAGGACTTTGATTTCCTTCTGAACTGTGACAAGTTATTCAAGAGATAGAGTAAGAATGCTGTTCCTCAGAAATATCTCCTTCTTGTACTGGTCCTTCTTGACGCGCCTGGCCTTCTCAAATTTCTATTTTTCCTCGCTTGTGAAGGCAGTCAACATGTGACTTTGACCAGGAGTAAGATTCAGGTCAGGGAGTGGAGTGTTTGGATCCATATGCCATAGATCAATGAAGTCGAGGATCTTCTTCAGATCCAGCATAAGAGGCAAAGAGCGGCATTTGGCTCTCGTAGCCCATTGTTGTCTATCTTTGATGATTTCTTCAAGTTCTTCATCATTAGATGGAACATGGAACACCACCTGATTCTTGTGAGGACTTGGCCTCTTTCCACATCCAGCAGTGGACTGGACCTTCAGCAGAGATGGACCACTTGAGGATTGTAATTGAGCCGAGGAAGTTGCAGATGCTCCTGAGGCAATAGAGAATCCAGCAGCCCGCTGACACGTTGCAAGATGCACGGGTGTTGAGAACTTTCTGGTAGCAACTGAGGATTTTGCAGCAACTGAGGGAACTGGCATTGTCTTTGAGGAAGTTGCTTGAGGTATTTTCCCTGAGGGCTTTGCTGTTGAGGAACTTGGCCGTGAGGGCATTGTGCTTGGAGACTTTGCCTAGACAGCTGATTTCTTCAAGATGGCCTTCTTTGGCACAGTTTTACTGGCAGAGGCCTCAACAGCAGCAACTTGAGAGTCCTCATTGAATTTACTTACTGCTTCTGTAGCAACTTTCCATAGCTTGGCTTCACGCTTGGCCCATTCCTTCAAAAAGTCCTCACCATGCTTGATGCTGGTAGGATCAACACGTTGGCTGATATGTTTCCAATGTATCTATAATTTTTGATTGTTCCATGCTATTATATTATCCATTTTGGATGTTTAATGGGTTTTACTATATACTTTTATATTATTTTTGGGACTAACCTATTAACCGGAGGCCCGGCCCAAATTGCTGTTTTTTTGCCCATTTCATTGTTTCGCAGAAAAGGAATATCAAACGGAGTCCAAATGGAATGAAACCTTCAGGGGAGTTATTTTTGGAACAAACGCAATCGAGGAGACTTGGAGTGGACGTCGAGAAAGAAACAAGGCGGCCACGAGGCAGGGAAGCGCGCCCAGGGGGGCAGGCACGCCTCCCAACCTCATGGCCCCCTCGTGGCTCCCATGACCGACTTCCTTCGCCTATATATACTCATATACCCTGAAAACATCCAAGAGCACCACAAAACCCTATTTCCACCGCCGTAACCTTCTGTACCCGTGAGATCCCATCTTGGGGCCTTTTCCGGCGCTCCGCCGGAGGGGGAATTGATCATGGAGGGCTTCTACATCAACATCATAGCCTCTCCGATGAAGTGTGAGTAGTTTACCAAAGACCTTCGGGTCCATAGTTATTAGCTAGATGGCTTCTTCTCTCTCTTTGGATCTCAATACAAAGTTCTCCTCAATCTTCTTGGAGATCTATTCGATGTAATTCATTTTGTGATGTGTTTGTCGAGATCCGATGAATTGTGGGTTTATGATCAACATTATCTATGAACAATATTTGAAAATCCTATAAATTCTTTTATGTATGATTTGTTATCTTTGCAAGTCTCTTCAAATTATCAGTTTGGTTTGGCCTACTAGATTGATCTTTCTTGCAATGGGAGAAGTGCTTAGCTTTGGATTCAATCTTGTGGTGTCCTTTCCCAGTGACAACAGGGGCAGCAAGGCATGTATTGTATTGTTGCCATCGAGGATAAAAAGATGGGGTTTATATCATATTGGTTGAGTTTATCCCTGTACATCATGTCATCTTGCCTAATGCGTTACTCTGTTCTTATGACACTACTAGGAAAAGGGCTATAAATGGGATGGACACTAATGGCGCACTGTACATGTGATGCGCCATTACTAAATACTAATGACGCACCATGTGTTGGTGCGCCATTAGTGTGCAAATACTAATGGCTCACTACATCCCACGGTGCGCCATTAGTAATTTTTTTTTAATTTTTTCAAAACTACTAATGGCGCACCGTGAAAGTGGTGCACCATTACTAGTTGACATAATAATGGCACACCACACCCACCGTGCGCCATTAGTAGTTTTGAAAAAAAAATTGTTAGTAATGGTGCACCTGTGGACAGTGCGCCATTACTAGTTACATTACTAGTTTTAACTAGTAATGGCGCACTGTCCACAGGTGCGCCATTACTAAGTTTTTTTCAAAAAAAAATTCAATTTTTTTTCTTTTTTTCTTTTCAAAACTAGTAATGGCGCACCGTGGGTGTGGTGCGCCATTACTAGTCTCTACTCCTAATAGAGCAGTTGGTGAATAGTCCGCCGGTTATTTTTCGCTGGTTTTTTTCCGTCCTCCCTCCCACCTCAACCTTCACTTGTTTTTTTTCGTCGGTTTTTTTTTCGTCTGGTTTTTTCTGACCTCCCACGCATTATTTTCTCCAGTTCTTTTGCCCCGCATCAATGGTCTTTTTCTGATACAGATACTACACGCACAACATGCAATGGCACCCTGCTCGATCTGGATCTCGGCGGCGGCGGCGGCTCCTCCCTCTAACCGCGCACCCTGCTCGATCTAGATCTCGGCGACGCTACCACTATGTCGATTCCATTCTTGAGGCGTAGTGGAGGTGACGGAAGCCCGACGGCATCGGCTTGCCGGAGATGAAGAAGACGGCCCAGTGCTGCAGTACTCGGGAGGAGGAATTAGCGAGGGAGGTGGCTCCACTTGGATGTCGCGGACCAACCACTGGACGGAGTCGAAGCGGGACGATGTGGTTCGGTGGTCAACGCGGGCCAGGAGGCGGCCATGGCGATCCGGCCGCGGCGGTGTTTCTCGATCCGGAGAGGAGGCGTCCTCCGATCAGCTCTGCCGTCTCCCCCGCCGGCGTCGCTCTCCACTCACCTTCTTTCCTTCGCCGCCACACCTCTCCCTATCTGGATCTGAGCCAACACCGGTTGTTCGTCACCCTCCCTCCCATCTTACCAACCGCTTAACACAATCCTGGGTGTAGTGGTCGCGGTGGTTCAAATCCTGCACGGCGGCGGTGCGGTTCCCTGGCTGCACGGCGAGCAGGAACAAGCAGCGGCGACTTACGGGCTTTGGCGGCGCGAGGACACCCGCGGGACCGGAGATGGCACAGTGGGCGTCCCGAACACAAGGAGTGTCGTGCCCGGCGTTCGTGATTTGGCAGACTATGGAATCGTGCGCACCGTCGTCGATTGGGAGCGCGAACCAACGGATTTTCAGCTCAGTCCACTGATTTGGAGCATTCGATTATGTCCAAGAAACACTTTGTTGGTATGGATGTATTCATGAATGCAGAGATTTCAGGCAGCCGTGGAGGATGGGTTGTGTGCGCAGTGCACTTGCCCGGTCAGGAGGATGTGTGTGCGTAATGAGAAGTAAACGTCGCAGACAGGTTGGCGCTGTTGCGCGTCCTGCCTGTGTGGCGGCTGTGCATGCACTGCTCAAGCTGGGAGCTGATGTGGAGGCTGGAGCTGCTACGGGGGATGTTGGCTGCGTGCTGCTGAAGCTGGGAGGAGACGGGGAGGTCCCGGACCCGACCCCTCTGCGCAGCGGCGCTAATATGGTTGTGCTTGATGGGCAGGCAGATGTACCGGCGCCTGGCAGCGAGGGCTGCTTCGTGCCGCCTGCTCGGGCTTGATCTCTTCATCAATCCTTTCCCCGGTGAGCTTTCATTCCTTCTTGGTTTTGGTTGTGCGTGGCTTTGATTTGTGGAAATCCAACCAGATTAATTTCAAATATCTTGCGCTGCTTGCAGCAGGACAAGGTCTGTATGGAACTCGATTAGTATGAAATTTGAACATTCAAAGGTTATTGTGATATATATAGTTGCACGTACGTTAATGACTTTTTGGGTGTTAGAAACTTGGAATCCGACCGTCCTAAATGAGTAGATGCAGTGCGAATCACCGCCCGGAGCTGAATTTAGTGATTTAGGCTATGTTATCTGATTTATGTGTCGGTGGCTTTGGGTAGACTGGTTTGAATCTGAATTCAGTGGTTGATGAGAGGAGCAATGAAGCTAAATCATAGAATAAAAAGCAAAGGAGGTTATGAGACAGTATATATTTTTCATTCAACACCCACTTCCAACATTGCAAGGGTAAAGCTAGAAACTCCGATAGGAATGTTTAGTCATTGACGTTTTCCCTGATACATGAATGCCCGCATGCTCTCTAAAAAGAAACTCTTCTCGGATTACCTGTTGTATTTTGTTCCCTCTCTAATGAGGCATTAAATCAGTCGTGTTGGTCTTATCGGTGTATCATATAGATATAATTATGTTCTTCAGCATTCATTCGGGTTAAGGCTGGACAATGAAAAACTTCTCTCTATAGACTTATGTTATTTGTCGGTGATGAGACACATAAGTACTAATTAATATATTTCATGCGAGAAGGTATAATTTGTGGCTTTAATTTTCTCTTTATGTTTATGTTTTCTCTCTTTTGTTGATCCCGATGCATTTTGTACTGATATGTTGTGGTAGCTGATCATGAGAGGAAGGGTGAAAATTTCACTTCAAAGTGATGCTTACTGAGAAGAAGAGTGAGGGGTAATGACAAAAATGGCGGAGAAAAAGACTGCTCTATTTGGTCATGAAAGCATATTTTCTCACTAGATAAGCTATTTTTGGTAGCAGGGACGTGATGAAATAACAATGATGGAGGGGGTGAGGCAATAGAGGAACAAGACACGAGGAGCAAAGCAGAGAAAAATGAAATAAAGAACCATGCCTTTCATTTTATGATTGTGTTAACAAACCTTCTTTTTACATATATTTATTCATGTTTATCTTTTGATCTATTATGGTTTTCTTAATAAGTATCACTATCTACTCAGAACTATTTGGATCAAGCAATAGGCACCCACCGCATGTTTGCTTGAATGTCTTGCTGTCATCACTATTGCCAATTAACTTTTTATGATGATAGTTTCATGTTGCATGACATACATTTCAAATAAGTGCAACTTATACAGCGAGGTCGAGGTCAGATTCTACTTGCTTGTGTAAACCAAGGTAATATTCGCGCAAAACACACACACCAAGGTAACATGTTTCTCTTCTTTCCACTAGCAACATTTTGAACAAGTGATCATTGTTTTCTTGTCTGACAGTTAATTCTCTTGCACAACACAGATACGAGCGCACCACATGATTTTTACTAGAAAGGGGATGGCACAAACTATGAATAGTGTTGCATGAGATCCAAAATAGATTGGTTATTTGGAATATTAATGCACTGATTAATATAAATAAGAGGCCATTTTGAAATACTTACCGTATGGATTGCTGTTTTAGTAAATAGGCAACACATAACAATTTGTTGATATTTAATTATGGTTTGACCATGTATCGTGCTAGAAATATTTATAGGTAATACTGTAATCTGAACATGTGTTCTTGCTTTTTGCCTCAATCAGGATTTATGTCTTTTTGCCTATTCCTATGACTCCAGATTGTTGTAGTAGCCATCTCTAGATAAGACTGTAATATGAACATGATAGATGTAAAGGCAAAGTTGATGCCCATCTTTTTCTGCAACCATTAGTTTGAAGAATTTTGGTGTCTTGTCTACCTAAGTAACCATTGATTAAAGTGTGCTCAAGGTTCTAGATTCTTAGAAAAGCCCCTTCCGTCCATTATTCAATTCTAATGTCGACCTGATGCCTTTGTTTAGGGAGAAAACTTTTATGAATGAGTTCTTTCAGTGTCCTAATTATGAAACCCTCATGCACTGCGCTCAGGTTTTTACTTCCACCAGGTGATAGAGGAAGAGGAAGAAGCAAGTTGCAGGGCATACTATGATATACAAAATAGATACTGAATAATTAAGAGGGAACTTGTGTGCTGCAGAGTTGCAGCGTGTTCCAGCATTTTGAAATATGAAATAAAATAGATACATGAGATATGATATAAAGATTCAGTTTCCAATTCTGCAGTGTAGTTTGGTGTACTCTCAGTATCATTTCAACTTTTCAAGTATAGGGTTTTGCTATGATATGCTATACTGCTTCGTGAGTCGTCGTCCGCTGATCTTGTGCAAGCCTTGGAGGAGTATCTGCCAGTCATTCTAGGGATGGTAAAGGATGGTAACTCAACTCTTCGATCTGTACACCTCGACCTCGTGCTTGATCCATCTTAATTTGCTCAGAAAATGGTCGAGGTTCTTGAAAAAAAAGACAATATCTTGTTCACACCATTCTTTTGTTTAATTATTTGATTTGAAGGGACTGAGTTAGAAGACAAGATACAGTTTGCATGGATGAATCAAGAAGATGATGCAGAGGTATAGTCAATCTTTGTTTGTTGCATGGATAAAACCTGAAGATTAACATGTCTCCGTGTTGGCAGGAGACGGCACTGCCCGGCGCCTGGTACGAGGTGCCGTCAGTGCTGCACATGATGGCCATACTCCGTTTATCACGAGCAAATTCCCTGCTCCTGCCAAAGACGTCTCTTGAAGGATACCATGCCAAAGTATCTGAAGGTTAATTCCCACTACGACTGAATCAAACAAGTAGTATATGTTTCAATCTTTCTGAATGTCTGTACTCTTGTACTTTCCACTTTCCAGAGAACAAATGCGCTTCTGTTGAGATATTCCTTAAGGCGTCTGGGCACCTGGAGTGCACCATGCAGCATGTTCTTCCTAGGATGTCGCCCTAAAAGAGGTGCTGATCTTGCCACTTGCCCTAGCCAACCCGGCATGATGAGCCGTGCTCCAAGCTTCCATTTTTCTTCAATTATTGTTCAGTAAGGACCGAGTACTGACTGCCATTGTGTAGGAAAGGTTTTCCTGTGGACTTGTCTGAAGGGGTCCTGAAAGCTACTTGCATGCAAGCACTTGGTCAGGTAACAATAATGCTTTTTTTTCTTGTTATTATCTGATAGTAACTACCTAGAGAGTCAGACAGAGGTCACATGATTCATCATGCATGGTGCAAGTAAGATATCATGCAGTTGAGATGTCGGCTTCTCGGTTAGTTCATCGATTATGCTATCTATGTCTGTGCTTGTTTGCCAGGCAATTGATGTTCAACTCGGTTGGCAATTGACAGTCCAAAGGCTACCCTGGCTGTCAAAAGGAGTCTGGCATGTGAGACGGTCAAGTGCTGGCAGCAGGTAGGCATCATCATTGATTCATTTCTACTGATTTCTGGTTATTTTGCATCTTCTATTCAGATAATGATATTTGTATATATGTCAGAGTTCAGCTTATGTTTGAAAATGCCAGGTATATGTACTGTTCATCTCCGCATGAAGCATAATATAATTTCATAAACAAATAAAACATAGAAAAAATATATAATCTATCCCAGTTTTAAAATATGTACAATCATGATGGTTTCATCCGCAGGCACATGAAAGCATCGTGGACATACCTCTGCTCGGCGGCTGGGGCAAAAAGCACAGGCTCTTTGTAAAGTGGAAGCACATGGAAGCAAAAGTACATATGCAGGCTCTGCTCATATCTCTGAACTCTAAAATGATTAAATGACTGAGTTTTGGTCACTAAGCAAAATAATAATAATATGATGCAGGCTGCGGCGTATTAGTACCACGCGCTTGTCCTTGACGAAGGCAACACCGAGAAGTATCACCGAGCGGCCGTAGCGGCACTGCAGTCCGCGGAGGAGTCCCTGAGGGAGAGCGGAGCCGTCTGTGAGGCCTTCCACTCTGCATCCCCCTTTTCGAGTTAACGGGGAGCACGAGGTGGTGCTCCCACTGCAAGAGAGGGAGCCATGCAAATAGTCAGTTGTGGGCTTGTGGCGCTGGTCGCGACCACCGCATCACCAACCATGATCGTCCAGGTTGTGGCATGGGGGCGTGCTTGCTGCTGGTGATCCCTCCATCATGATGATAAGGCGACTCCCCAACCCTGATGATAAGGCTTCATCCGTTCAATTTTGACTCTGTAGACAACTAGCTTTTGGTAAGTGTAGCATGCTCAAGTTTACTTTAGCTATTTTCATGTTCTGCATTTTAGTGGTACAAGATTTTGTTGCTAATTGATAGACCGCCACATAAGGGAAAAGAATGCACATGTTGTGGAATTGAAATCTAGAATAATCTAGCTTGAGTCCACTGGATGCGAGATAGATGATTGCCTTGTTAACTACTAAATATGCATGCCCTGTTGCAACGCACGGGATATTAACTAGCCTGGCGCTCGGTGGGAGGGCTGGTGGGAGGTGAGTCAAAACGGTGAACAAAAGCACCACACACAATCGCCAAAAAAAAACTCCACACGCCCCTCCTCACCCGTCTCTGACAAGAGCCGGGTACATGGTATCCACCACCGCCTCCAACAATCCCCATCTCTGATAAGATTCGGGTACAGGGTAGCCGCCGGGTACAAGGGAGCCATCTCTATCGCCGGGGACAAGGACACATGTGGAAACTACCGTTGCATCAGGTCCTTCGATCTCTCCCCTACTCGTCACTCATCATTGTTCGCCCCGCACGGCTCTGCCTCCATGTGGGGATTCGCTCTATGCCGTCCATGAGAGGCGGCTGCAGGCGCCATGGTGCTGATCCGGTCATTGTTAGTATTCAAGTTGCCACATGACTTGTCTGGTTTTATTTCTTATTAGGTACCTGAACCTGATCAGATGAAGTTGCATGCTCATAGAATT